AAAAAAAAAAAAAAAAAAAAAAGGCAAGCTAGATGTCTCTCATTAATAGAATAAATCATGAAACATACATTATTTTTAGGATAGAATGCAGGTGTAAAAACAAATAGAAATAACTAAGAAATTTGCTAAAACAGATAACATAGAAATCCTTATCTCAATGAAATAAGTATTTAGGCCACAGACTACAACTCAATAATTTCCAAAAAGAAATAATTATACAGGATACAGATTATATTATCTATCCATAATGCAACAAAACAAAAAATTAACAACAAAGCCTAGGTAAAAAATGACTCACCTAGATACTTCTAAAACTACTCTTCTAAATAACCCTTGGGTTAAATAGGAAATAAAAATTTAATTTTATTTAAACTACCCTCAAAGGGTTATTAAGAATCAGTAAATTTTTTTTTTTAATTTTTTAAAATGTTTTATTTATTTCTAAGAGACAGAGAGAGACACAGCATGAGGGTCAGAGAGAGAGGGAGACACAGAATCCGAAGCAGGCTCCAGGCTCTGAGCCAGCCATCAGCAGAGCCTAACGCGGGGCTCAAACCTACAAGCCATGAGATCATGACCTGAGCCAAAGTTGGAAGCTTAACTGACTGAGCCACCAGGCGCCCCGGAAATCAAAATTTTAAAGTCTTCTCTAACAATGAAGGCACTTCATATCAAAATATATGTGATACAATCAAGGTACTATTCAAAAGAGTCTTTTATCATCTTAAAAGAATTTCCTTTAAAAAAAAAACAAAGTATTGAAATAATCATGTAATTCAAAAGGTGTTTACAACAAAATATAACCAAGGAAACCAGAAAGGAAGATTGATTAAAACTAAAGGTAGACATTAACAAACTAGTAAGTCTAAAAATCAGGAAAATCAAGTCAGCAAAAGGCCAATAAAATTGAGTTTTTGGCAAGTCTGACTACAAGGTAAAAAGAAAGAACACAAACAGTATTAGAAACACAAAGTGTGGCATAACTGCTAATATAGAAGACACTCTTTAAAATTATACAAAAATGCTACATAAAACTTTAAGTCAGCCAGAAGAATTTTTTAATTGAAATGAAACATGAATTTCTAGAAAAATCCAGAATTATAAAACTTCATCAAAGAAATAGTAGTATCTCTGGAGGGTAATAACTGTGGAAGAATTTTTTTCATTAGTCAAATATTTCCATCTCTAAAGGCTCAGACAGTTATGTGGATGAGTTCTAATATACAATATAAAAATTCTTTTTAGGGGCGTCTGGGTGGCTTAGTCGGTTAAGCGTCCGACTTTCGCTTAGGTCATGATCTCGCGGTTCGTGGGTTCGAACCCCGCGTCAGGCTCTGTGCTGACTGCCAGCTCAGAGCCTGGAGCCTGTTTCAGTCTGTGACTCCCTCTCTCTCTGACCCTCCCCTGCTCACGCTGTCTCTCTCTCTCTCTCCTAGAAATAAATAAAACATTTAAAAAAAAAATTCTTTTTAACTTTAAAAACTCTCATTTATTTAAGCTCTTCTAGAATTCATTCTATGAGATTAGCATAACACTGAAACCAAAACTAGGCAGGCATGCGGGCACATATGTGCACGCACACATATATATGCGTACACACACACACACACACACACACACACAATCCCACAACCAAAGACCAAAATCAACTACAAATATACATGCAAAAAGTTTAAATAAAATGTTAGTGTTTCAAATCGATTGTGCATTAAGAGAATTATAGAGGTGCCTGTGTGGCTCAGTCAGTTAAGCGTCCAACTTAGGCTCAGGTCATTATTTCTCAGTTTGTGGGTTTGAGCCCCAAACCGTGCTCTGTGATGACAGCTCAGAGCCTGGAGCTTGCTTTGGATTCTGTTGTCTCCCTCTCTCTTTTCCCCTCTCCCACTCACACTCTGTCTCTCTCTCTCTCTCTCAAAAATAAATAAACATTTTTTAAAAAAAGAGAGTATTCTAAAACATGGCCAAGCAAGGTTTATCCCAGGAAAGCAAGGGCCATCCGCCATACTGAAGTCTATAAAAGTAATGATAAAATATTAACTTAATTACTGCCTGACAGATATCTGATGAAAGTCAGCACATGTTCTTGACATGAACTGTGTAGTTAGGAAACAATCATTTCCTAAGCACCATAAAAGTTATCCACCAAGAAAATACAATAAACATGACACAAGATGGAATATCAAAAGCATTCCTGTCAAAATCAGGAAGTAGACAAGAATTCTTGCTAGTCCACATATTTCTGGCAGAAATAAATAATACAATGAAACAAGAAAAAAGCGAGGGCTATTTAACCTTGTCATTATTTACATAAATATGATGTTTATCTAGAAAATCCAAAATAATCGGGGTGCCTGGGTGGTTCAGTCGGTTAAGCGTCCAGCTTCAGCTCAGGTCATAATCTCACGGTTCGTGGGATGAAGCCCCGCATCGGGCTCTGTGCTGACGGCTAGCTCAGAGCCTGGAGCCTGTTTCAGATTCTGTATCTCCCCTCTCTCTGACCCTCCCCTGCTCACGCTGTCTCTCTCTCTCTCAGAAATAAATGCTAAAAACACTTAATTAAAAAAACATTAAAACAAAATAATCAAGTGGAAAGCTAGATGGCTACATTCAAGATAAACATTCAAAAATCAATAGCGTTGCTATACACCAACATATTTAAAAACTGTAAGAAAAATAATCTCACTCAAAATAGGTTGTATTAGTAGTCTATAAAATACATAGAAACAAAGTAACAAAAAATATATAAGCCTTATATGAAGACTTAAAAAAAAATCACAGGATTTTAATCAATAGAATATCCAGTATACTCCTGGATAGAAAGACTCACTTTAGCCAAGACATCGATTATTAATTAATTCATCTAAAATTAATCTAAAATTTCATTGCAATTTCAATCACAACCCCAACAGGATTTTTAATGGAATCTGACAATCATTTCTAAAGTTTATCTAGAAGAACAGATACATAACAGAGGCAAAAATTCCTGAAAAAGGCAGCCACGAAGGAAATCATGCTCTATCAAAATTCATAACCTATTATAAAGCTATAGTAATTTCAACTGGTACAATAATACACTAATTGAAAAATAGACTACAACTAGTTTGATTGATTGATAGATGTTTGATAGATGATAAAGAGGCTTTTGAAGCAGCAGAGATAAAATGAACTATTCAAAAAATGGTGTTAGGACAACTGATTATTCATTTCACAAATAGTATTATATCATGGCTTGTTTAAAACAGAGAAGATCAGAGATAAAGCAGGAAACAAGAAAAGTTTTATGTAATGAATACCTAGAGAAGATAGTCAAGAAGAAAGAGATAATAACTATAAGGAATTATACTAAATTAGCAGAGCGGCAGTGATGAAAACCAGACCACATTCTCAATAGCCTGAGAGTCATTTGGAAGAAAGTGTTTTTAAACACTGATTCACTGCAGAGCCATGAGCTGAGCAAGAACTTAACCTTCATTAAAGCAGAAGTCCATTATAATTTTGGAGTTCTTTTGTATGGCTCTATTATAATTCTGAATTTCTGCTCTAAGGCAGGTTGAGTTCGTGTTTAATACAAGGTTCTACAGTATTATGTGACGTGTGGGATTCCTAAATTGCTACAATAACTGGTCATGTAATAACAGGGTCTCCAGTTCATCAATTATTTAAATTGGTAGATTTCCTAATTGTGAATTACTTATTCACCCAAATGAATTCTATCATTTCACATGACTGCTTATCTCATGATAGGACAATGTCAGCATTCTAGGGAGGGAAACAGTATTAGAAAAAGGTTTCAAATGGATTTTACTGAAATTGGGTACATTTTACATTTATAAGAGTTACAGAGATTGTATGATGGCTTTGAAAAATGGTTTCAACCTTACAAACTCTCATTGCTTTTAAGCAGACTGCAATTTATAAATGGTTCACATACATATAACTAGATAACAGAAGAGACAATGATTTATGTGGCAATTGTACATTATTCCCTAATACAAGAGTACTGGAAAGTTTATTCCCTAAAGCATAAATGTCTATGTTTGGAATTTTTTTTCTCCTTGAGGTTTTGTTTTGCTTTTTTGCTTTGCACTCCACCAGTTTAAAACAAAAAAACAAAAAAAACAAAAACTGAGTCTGCGCTCCCAACATATGTATACTTGGGTTAATAAATGTATTTGTGTACTATCGTTTTAATGCATTATGAACACTAAAATATATTACAATAGAAAATGTTTAAGATGAGATGAGATAAAATCAAATCTACATACAAAGTTCTGGTCTTGTTCCTTGGATCCCTGGACTGCCTTACAACGTATACACACCTTATTTGGGAGAACGTTGTCCTAGAGCAGTAAGTTATCAAACCACAGTATACAAAATAATCACGTGGGATGCTGGTTAAAAATGCAGACTCACGGGGCGCCTGGGTGGCTGAGTTGGTTAAGCGTCCAACTCCTGGTTTCAGCTCAGGTCATGATCTCACAGTTTCACAGATTTGAGCCCCACATTGGGCTCTCCACTGACAGCACGAAGCCTGCTTAAGATTCTCTCTCTCTTCCTCTCTCTCCGTCCTCCCCCACTTGTGCAATCTCTGTCTCTCTCAAAAATAAATAAACTTTTTAAAAAATGCAGATTCCAAACATCAACAACAGAGATTCAGTGGGTCTAAGATGGAGTTCAGGAATCTGCATCTTTTAGCAATCACTCTAAGTGATGTTGAAGAAGTTGTTTGAGGCCACATTTTTTTTTTTATGTTTTTATTTATTTCTAGGAGAGAGAGAGAGACAGCGTGAGCAGAAGAGGGTCAGAGAGAGAGGGAGTCACAGACTGAAACAGGCTCCAGGCTTGAGCTGGCAGTCAGCACAGAGCCCAATGCGGGGCTCGAACCCACGAACCACGAGATCATGACCTAAGCAAAGTCGGACGCTCAACCGACTAAGCCACCCAGGCGCCCCCGAGGCCACATTTTGAGAAACACCACAAAGGCAATGCAGATTCTCTCCCCCGTGCCATCAGCACAGCAACACCAGCAGGAGAGGAAGATACAACAATGCTCTATTCTGCACACACGTTATCCAGGAATGAGCTTTTTCTGGGGAAATATTAGAACTGTCACTTAAAATACTGTTTCTGTAAGAAAATGCATTCCAGTTTCTACAGTGCTGACCTAAGAAGAAATTTTTGGCATTCTCATACACACACACCCCCACACACTATTTATTATATAATAGAATTCATCCACTTACATGAAACTGCTTTTCTTCTAAAGTGTAACATCTTTGGGGCGCCCGGGTGGCTTAGTCGGTTAAGCGTCTGGCTTTCGCTCAGGTCGTGATCTCGCGGTTCGTGGGTTTGAGCCCCGCGTCGGGCTCTGTGCTGACTGCCACCTCAGAGCCTGGAGCCTGTTTCAGTCTGTGACTCCCTCTCTCTCTGACCCTCCCCTGCTCATGCTGTCTCTCCCTCTCCCTCTCTCTCTCTCTCCTAGAAATAAATAATACATTTAAAAAAAAATAAAGTGTAACACCTTTTAAGTATAAAATTTTTTTTTATATTTTTATTTATTTCTAGGAGAGAGAGAGAGAGAGAGATAGAGACAGCATGAGCAGGGAACGGTCAGAGACAGAGGGAGACACAGACTCTGAAATAGGCTCCAGGCTCTGAGCTGGCTGCCAGCACAGAGCCCGACGCCGGGCTCGAACCCACGAACCGCGAGATCATGACCTAAGCAAAAGTCGGACGCTTAACCGACTAAGCCACCCAGGCGCCCCTAAGTATAAAATTTTTTAAAGTATAAATGCAAACTGTTAAATCCCCTAGCAATTTAAGACATCCATTTGCATCAATAATCACTTATGAAGCATCTGTAACATACCAGGCATGAAAGGAAGCAGCTTGGTATGATGGAAAGGGCATGGCTTCCATAAGCGGAACAGCCTAGGGCTTAATTTCTGACTTAATTTCTTACTTGTTAAATTTGGAACAAGTTACTTAACCTTTCTAGGTTCCAGTTTTCTTATCTCTAAAATGGTCAATATACTGTCTATTTACAGAGCCTCTGTGAAAAATAAACAAGATTTGTGTAATGCACACAATAAGCGACAGCTGTAATAATAATACCTGCACTTTAGTGGTATCTCTTTAAAACCACACATATGTGACCTTTTCCTCATTAAAAATTCAATTTCTACATTTCCCATGTTCAAAAGTGTTGACTACATAGGCTCTGAGGTCAAAGAATTTGGATTCAAATTCCAACTCTACCATTCACTCATCTGGGCCAATTACTTAACCGCTCCTAAGCCTCAGTTTCCTCTGGGATGAAACAGGGATAATAATAGTACATATCTAATACAATATTATGAAGATAAAAATGAAGACTCTAACTATAGTGCTTAGCCAGTGACTGGCGCTCATTAAGCACTGAGTAATTTTTATTCATTATCACTTAACCAAGAAATGATTTTCAAGCCATATTTGCTGATGCTCGTGCAAATAAGAATACATGATTTGACTAAGATAACTATACATATCACCTAAAACTAAATCTACAGATATTCCTGAATTTTCTCGTAACACTGCGTAGACATTTTATCCTGCTTCAAAACCATTGTATCCCCTTTACCTAGAGTATAAAATCTAAACAACATGATAGAATATGCAAGTCTTTTCACAACTCTACCTGCACCACATTTCTTCCTCTTCTTTACCTCACTCCCTAACCTCCCATTCTATATGCCCGGCTTCTCACCATTTTCAAAAGAAGTTCTGGTCTCAGAGTTTGGGCACAGTATTATCTCCCAAGACAGGAGTCACTAAATACTACCTTGCCATTTCTTGTAGATCTTCAAAACATCATTAGCCAAGACCTAAAACAAAATCTTTATTAGATTTTAATATGTGTTACAATACAAGGGCTCCTGGGTGGCTCAGTTGATTAAACATCTGACTCTTGATTTTGGCTCAGGTCATGATCTCATGGTTTTATGAATTCAAGCCCCACATCAGGCTCTTTGCTGGGAGCATGGAGCCTGCTTGGGATTCTCTGTCTCCCTCTCTCTGCCCCTCTCCACTTGCACCATCTCTGTCTCTCTCAAAATAAATAAATAAAATTTAAAAAATTTTTTAAAAATATGTGTTGCAATGCCCATCACGGGAGTCTTCTTAAGGATAAGGTAAATATTCAAACTCATAAAACTACCGTAGGCTGCACTTGGCATCAGATTCACATAGAAAAATGTGGGCCAGGAGACACGGCACATCCGCAGAGCACTGAGAAGTATTCTTCTTCAATGGGAGATCTTATGGCACTGTATTCAGCTGTCCAGAAACTATTCTCTCTTCTCCTCCTCCACCTCCCTGGAGAAAGCTCAGGTTCAAGGTGAGATTCACATTGGACAGGTTATCCTGCAAAAGCCAATTATCTGTTGCAATAACCCTACAGTCACTGCTTATACCATCCATGCCAGGGAACTGCCAATGTCACACTTAGGGAAGCCCAAAGATATGGCTTCTTACTAGGTATTTATAGTTCTTCCTAGTCCAAATGCAGTCTGCCAGCCAGAAGTCATTTTTATCATAAGCATGTTGCTTTATAACACAGCTGACACTACTTTTATCTAGTTTCCAGGGAAACAAACTTAGAAGGTCAACCAAAGTCAAACTGTCAGGCAAAAATGGAAAAGGGTTTTGATAACTCTTTACCTACAGGTGCATATCTTTAAAAAAATGAGCAATTACAGTAGTCTCTCCAGAACAAGTGGAAAAAGGAAGAAGAGAGAGGAACAGACTTCAAAAAATAGTTTTTATCAATATACGTACCATTGTCAGCTGCACCATCTGCTAAAAATATGTAGTAGCTTGTGTTTAGATCAAATCTATTCTTAACCCCAGGAAGGGTAATGTTTCTTCTGAAAGAACACTGCATAACACCATCCACCAGCCTCCAAGCCATATTCTCAAGAGCACCCTACAAACACACACAACGGGTCTTTTCAGCATTTTCCACAGATTTGCTAAAAATAAAATATGATCAAAATCCTGTTCGATTTCCTTTCCCTAAGATCTTTTGTGCATGTTTTGTCTGCTGTATCATTGTTTTTCCACTTCCTCTCTGAGGAGTACAAGAAACATTTTCTCCTCGTTTATTTGTCTTTATCCTACTTGGCAAAAACACTATTTGTACTTTGAGTCAGAACCCCACAAATCCTCTACCCAGGTTAGAAATTTTGGCAGGTGTGCTAACCCCCTCTGGGCACTAACACACAATAAAAAACACTGAAGAAACAATTAGAAAGTAATATCCTAGTGGCCAAAAGGCGACGTGCAATGAGGGAGAAGTTCCAAGCCCATGGGAATGCTCTGTAGAGAACGTAACATTGTTAGGTGATGGCTGCTTCTCGGTCAGAGCTCAGTTGCTTGTCAACTGCCATGTGAAAAAAATATGTCTCTACCAGAAATAGGCCATCTTTGGCAGAGATGCCAACAAGGGGCACTGAAGACAACTGTTCAAGGCACTGAAGCAGTCTCTACCATACATGTTCTTCATTCTCACTAGACAAGAACCTTTATGTCATTAACCTAAGACTCTTCTTAAAAAATCTGTCTGTAAGCTTTTGAAAAGGAGCTGAGGCTTTGACCATCTTAACCATAATTTTTTTATAAGATGCAAAAAAGGATTTAAATGACACATGTAAGAATTCATCTTTTCCTGTAAGAGAAACTTACTTTGTATTTTCCAAAATGTAAAAAAAGGGGGGATGCTGGTCAAGGGTACAAAATTGCAGTTATAAAGGATGAAAGTCTAGAGCTCTAATGTATAGCATGATGACAATAGTTAAGAATGTATAGCATATAGACTATAGTTATTCTATACTGGAAATTTGCTAAGAGTAAATTTCAGGTATCCTCACCACAAAAAAAAAAACAAAAAAAAACGCAACTAAGTGAGGAGATAACTGTAGTAGTCATTTCACTATGTATACGTATATCAAAGCATTATGCTGTATATCTTAAAGATGTACATACAATTTTATTAAACTGTATAATATTTAATAATTTAATATATGTTAAATAAAATGATATGATATTAATAAATGTACCAATATAATAATATAACTTATTTTATATTTTTTTATATTTATGTTAAAAAGAAAGCACAGAAAAGTTTCTCCCAGCTTGTTGTAAGAAAGGAAGCCTACTGCCAAACTCACGCTCTAGCTCCACTGCTAACTGAGGATGGGGAGCTATCTCACAGCACAGTTAGGCCACTGTTGGCCACATAGCCAGAGGCAGACAAGCTGGGTGGAGGTTCCCAGAATCTTCACACCTACCCTGGAGTCCATCACAGGGTGATGTCGCCCCGTCAGATGGGAAGGTTGTATATGCACAGTCTGATCTTCATGAATACACACATAAGCATCATCATCACCCTGAAAAACAATTGCAAAGAAGAAAAATTCAAAGGAATTTCAACATTTTGTTTTTTTTAAATGTCCCTAATGAAATCAAATAGTTTTTGATGCTTTTAAAACACAATTTACTGACTCAATCTTAAATGATACCATGAATTCCAGAGAACTGGCTGTCCAATTTATTAATAAAAAATAATTTTTTTGAAGAATTGAAGAAACAAACAAAAAGCGGAAACAGCCCCATAAATACAGAGAACAAACCTGATGGTTGCCAGAGGGGAGAAGGTAGGGGAATGGGCAAAATGGATGACAGGCAGTGGGAGACACAGGCTGCCAGTTGTGGAATGAGTAAGTAACAGAATAAAAGGCAGAGCATAGGTAATATAGTCAATGGTGTCATAGTTCTGTCTGATAACAGATAGTAGCATGAAGTTTAAAATTGTTGAATCACTATGTTGTACACCTGAAACTAATGTATCGTCATGTATCAACTATACTTCAATATAAATACATAAACAAATGAATAATTTTGTTAGAATACAAAAGCAACACAATTTCAATATAAAAATATGTTAAAATAGGGGCGCCTGGGTGGCTCAGTTGGTTAAGCATCCAAATTCGGTTTCAGGTCATGATCTCACAGTTCGTGAGTTCAAGGCCCACATCGGGCTCTGTGCGGGGAGCTCAGAGCCTGGAGACTGCTTCAGATTCTGTGTCTCCCTCTCTGTCTGCCCCTCCCCTGCTCTCACTCTGTCTCTCTCAAAAATAAACATTAAAAATTTTAAATAAATAAGTAAATAAATAAGTAAAATAGACATAACATGTTTAGAAGCCCCTAAACTCAAACACCAGTATTTTTTTTTTTAATGTTTTATTTATTTCTGAGAGAGAGAGAGACAGCATGAGCAGGGGAGGATCAGAGAGAGAGGAAGACACAGAATCTGAAACACACTCCAGGCTCTGAGCTGGCTGTCAGGACAGAGCCCAACGCAGGGCTCGAACCCACAATCGTGAGATCATGACCTGAGCCGAAGTCGGATGCTTAACCAACTGAGCCACCCAGTATTAATGCTTTCATATATATTCATCCAAAACTTTTTTTTGATACCCACTTTTTCACCCTAAGTGGATGGAAAATACACAGTTCTGTTACCTTTTTCCACTGAACTTACTATGAACATTGTTCTAATTATAAATAACTATAACAATATATATTATTTATTTATAAATAAATATCTATGTCCTACAATTTTTCATAACTATAAGTGCACTGCACTATTTTGGGTTTGGGGAGTAACTTTTAAGGTGAACACACTAGAATCAAATATTGCTGATATTGTATACGCTCGATAGATTTACTATTACATATTCAAACTGAAGTGTCTGAACTCAAGGAGGCATTTTTTTCAGTCTACTTCTTATCTGTCCCTTAGTCTCTAATATTCCTTAGCTCTAAAAGTTAGAGTTGATTTGAAATGGCTATCAGGGGACAGACTGCATCTTCAAAGTCCATTCAAGTGATGGTACAAATGAATAATCTAGATTTTAAGTTACTGTGTGTAGTTTTGGTTCTTTCACCTATTCTAAATCACTCTCCATAAACTATCTAACAAGGTCTTTTATGTGTTATAGTCACTAAACTCCTTAAACAAAGGGAACACTAGAAGTTATAACAAATTTTGTTATCAATCCCATTGATATTCTAATTCATTTTTTAAAGTTCCACTTTTGAGAACTCCCAAGTGCTTAACCTTAGCAAACCAACTATTCACTGTTACACATATTATATTCAGATCAGAATTAGCTCGACTCAAGAAATTTGGAGTTGTCATGATTTAAACCTGGAATCAAAAAAAAAGAGCACACTCAGGGGGCGCCTGGGTGGCTTAGTCGGTTAAGCGTCCGACTTTCGCTTAGGTCACGATCTCGCGGTTCATGGGTTCGAGCCCCGCGTCGGGCTCTGTGCTGACTGCCAGCTCGGAGCCTGGAGCCTGTTTCAGTCTGTGACTCCCTCTCTCTCTGACCCTCCCCTGCTCACGCTGTCTCTCTCTCTCTCCTAGAAATAAATAAAAAATAAAACATTTAAAAAAAAAAAAAGAGCACACTCAGACCAAATTCAGCCCAATGCCTGTTTTGGTACAACCCACAGGCTAAGAATGATGTTTACATATCAAAATGGTTTTTTTTTTTAATGTTTATTTATTTTTGAGAGAGAGAGCTTGCGAGCAGGGGTGGGGGCAGAGAGAGAGGGGGACAGAGGATCTGAAGACGGCTCTGCACTTACAGCAGCAAGGCTGATACCGCAGTCAAACTCATGAACCGTGAGATCATGACCTGACCTGAAGCTGGACACTCAGCCAACTGAGCCACCTAGATGACCTAAATGGTTGTTTTTTAATTAAAAGAAGAATATTTCATGACAAGTAAAAATACATGAAATCCAAATTTCATTGTCCACAAATAAAGTGTTATTGGAACACAGCTATGCCTATTGATTTATGGATTGTCTATTGCTGTATTAGCACTATCAAAACAGAGATGAATAGTTCGAACAGGGGCCACAGACCCACAGATTCTCAGGAGTTACTATCTGGACCTTTACAGAAAAAGGTCACTGATTTCTGATTTAAACAAACAATGTGTGTTTTCTAGACTATCGGCTACGGGGTATAAAAATTATTTTTTTATTTAAAACAATTTTAATAAAATAAAATGGTTCACTTTGAGGCAAAATGATGATAAGACAAATACCATACTAATTCCTTGTTCGTATGGAGGCAGACCTCCCAAATACTGGAATGGAGAAGAGGTAACTCTCGATTCTCACTACTCTAAAATGAAGAATATGAGAAAGCGCTATTACAACTTTAGGCTCCAAGCAATTTCTAGAAACCCCAAGTCTGGAGCATGGAAACACACATGTAAGAAGTTCTGCAGGTAAGAGATAGTGTATCAATTGCCCAGGATGGTATCTGAAAAGAAGCAAGGATTCAATAATGGTAACTGCCTTTTTACTTCTATTTTTGATCACCAAGAATGGGGAACACAAGAAACAGGAGGAGGAAGATATTAAGTTCAATTTTATGGATGATGGTTTGCATTGTCCAAGAACACTCACCTGGCCAAGACCAGCTGGCCACTGGAAATCCCAATCTGAAGTACAAAAGAGGTCAGAACTGGGAGCGTTCTAGAAACTGAGCACTGAGAAACTATGTAGAAAGCAAGAAGACAGGGGCGCCTGGGTGGCTTAGTCGGTTGAGCGTCCGACTTTCGCTTAGGTCATGATCTCGCGGTTCGTGGGTTCGAGCCCCGCGTCGGGCTCTGTGCTGACTGCCAGCTCAGAGCCTGGATCCTGTTTCAGAGTCTGTGTCTCCCTCTCTCTCTGACCCTCCCCTGCTCACGCTGTCTCTCTCTCTCTCCTAGAAATAAAAATATTTAAAAAAAAAAAAAAAGCAAGAAGACACTAAGCAGGACGAGGAAAGGAATAGAAGCTAATATCTAGTATGCATGCCTGATATACATTACATCGTTTAACAAAGTGTATGAGAGAGGGGATGCGTGTAATACTTTGAAATTTAGTTAAAATTCAGACATCAGCAAGTCATTGATAACTCAGATAGGGAAAATTATACTTTTCATCAACTTTAATGACGTTTAATACCAAAACAGTTGCCATCATTGATTTATAAGTGAAACTGAAACAAGTATCAGTTAGGTTGATCAGTATTAATAACATCACATACCTTCAGTACTTAAGTTTATATTACGTACTGAAAAGAAATAGCAGGTCATAAAAATATCCTAGAATTGTTTAAATAACCAAAAATAGAAATAACCACTTTAAAAATATTTTCTGAGGATGATTTATTTCCCCCAACGTAGGCAAACAGGTGTACAAATGATTTTAATCATTAAGTAAGATTGCTCTGTAAATCAACTGCACCTGCAAAATTAAGCCTTTTTTATAAACATTTTTGATGAGTACTATTCTAGAAACATCAGATTCCTAAGTAAGATAAATATATCTTGAATTAGAGATAAATACTTTTGTGCCATCTATGCCTACAACTTAGAACAGAAACAACTGGTCTACTTGTGGGCACCTCCTCACCACACTCAATACAGCACTAGTCGTTTCCTCTCGCTGACAGATTTTATGTGACCAGAAAAGGAAAAATATGAGTATACTGCTGCATGCAGTTTGGCTCTAAAGTGACTGGAATTTTTTTTACTTAAGTAACTAGAACACATATCTAAATGATACTGTATACTACAGATGAAACTACACACTTACTCAAGGCTCCATTGTTAACCCTTGCTGGGTTCATCTTCTGAACTGTTCACACAACAAGCACTACCACCATCTTTCCTTTTTGCTTTATGGTCCCATTTTATTTTGTTAATGTTTATTTATTCATTTATTATTTTGAGAGAGAGAGGAAGAATTCATGCATGCATAAGCAGGGGAGGGGCAAAGAGAGAGAGAGAGAGAATTTTTAAGCATCTCCGTGCTATCAGTGCAGAGCCTGTCTTAGAGGCTTAATTTCACAAACCATGAGATTGTGACGTGAGCTGAAATCAACAGTTGGGTGCTCACCTGACTGAGCCACCCAGGAGCTCCCACTTTAATTTTTAATCCAGCCTCAATATCCACCTTATGTGCCAAACTTGGTTCGTTTCTGCCTGAACTGCAAATACCCAGCAGAATATGCTATAGCTCTGATGACAATTAGCAAGGGCAATGGGGGAAAGGTCTTGAACTAATGCAACATCATTTGATCAAGCATAAAATTTCCCCAAGCGACAACTTTAAAAGAAGAGTCACAATTTCTTATATTTCATTTTTTAAAGCATATGACATATCTTAAATCTCATAAGGTTGAGGTCTATGTTTTGCTTAATGAAAAAAGATAATGAGTGCATTCTAAACTATATAGTAATACATGTAGGTCATCTGCACATACTGCAATGCCCTCCCCCTAAAAAAGTTACGCCTGGCTTCCTGCAATACACGCAGGCATATGAGGACCAATGTGATCACAGTGCACTTTTAGGGAAAACATTCGTCCTTCTATCACAGAATCTCAGCATTTCTTTTCTTTTTTTTGAAATATAAGTCCCTGAAGAAGTGATAAGTTAAGTTTAAAACATGATAAGAAGAAAACTCTCTAGAAAAGACTCATTCCCTTTACTAATGTGGAAGTAAGAGGCTTTCTCCGTTTGTAGTCAGCCCTGACCTCATCACCAACTATGCTTTGAAAAAGACTTAAACATGTCCTGGCCCACACTCTCCTTCCTTCCTTCTGGGAGATGAGGAAGCCTGTGCAGTGCTTCCACACCAGAGCCCAAGGCTGCCCCATCTACAGAATCACTGAATCCATTCAGCATCTCCCAGGGAAAGCGAGAATCAGCCTAAAACAAATGCTGCCTTCTGTAGATCTGACGAAGGAGCCAACCAGTAAGGAACATCTTTATGCCTGGACACACCAGGTTTAACTCCTTATTTGGGATATGTACTGATGACTACCAAATTGGGGACTCCTAGAACAGCAACCCATGCTGGGATTGCTGGCCACTTGAGAAAACAAGGAGGGTATGAAAAGCATCACAAGTAACACGAGACTTGATGCAGAGCAACTTCTCCTAACTGTACGTCAAGTTTTTATCACAAAGAGATAAACAGAGACAGAGACAGAAAGATATAGTGGCAAATCCACTATACAAATCCACTGGATATAAAGTGATTTTCCTAACTTTACACAGGACAGTCTTTCTTAGAGGCATATAATTGCACAACTGTTAAAAACATGAAATACCCAAAGATGTTTAGCTCAGAATCTGCTCTATGTTCATTTCTCCTGCCCTCCCCTTCCCCTTCCCACTTTAAGAACAATTATTTGACTCTGGAACAAACAACTAACTGCCATTGATTAGGCTCCCTCCAGTAATTTTTCTTTCAATACCACTTACGTAAGCAAGGAATACAAACCATCCATCTGTCATGAGAAAACGCAAAGGATAAATAGCCTTTACTGGGACCACTCATTTCAACCACCACTGATTGGTCATCTCGTGTGAAGGACAAGAAGAAACAGGCACGTTCCTTCTCTGGGTCACAGTTCAAAGGATTCCGAATACAGAACTTCTTGTTCCCACAATCTGAAGCACTGAACTAGAAAAATCACAGGGAGAAAAAGTCTTAATTACCAACCAAGCAGTTCGTTTCACAATGGTAAAAGAGCCACTACCCTTGAAGTACAAGTTTTAACAAGAGTATCTTTTCATAATAAAGATTCAAAGACGGAAACAAATGACGCATCCCAAATTAGACTGTGAACTTTTAAACTTAATTAATTTTAATTAAAATTTGGAAGACACACATTAGTTGGACTATAATGTGCATGAGTATTAAAGTCCTTTTAATATACAAACTATTTCACCTCAATTATGTTCTGGAACATAGTTTCTAGTAAATTTTGAAAAATATTTTAGGGAATATTTAAGCCCACATTGACATTCTTGCCTAAGGATATCCTTGAGGTTTTAGAATGGGCTTTTAAAAAGCAAACAGACAAACTCACAAGTTTTCATATTTAGATACTAGACTCTGAACCTAGAATTCAGGTTCAAATTTGATATTAATATAAGAAAAAATGTTATTCCAATATATACTAACACTCCAAATAATAGTAATAACAATTTAGTGGAGGAGAAACAGGAACAATCTACAGTGATTTAATTCAGAGCTTTCTTGTTATGGCAAATAAGAGGATCAGTATCAAAATCCCAGCTCTTCAATTTTGAGAGCACGAATGCTCAGTCATCTTGTTAGAATGCACCAAGACGGTGTATTTCAGAAGAGAGTTAAACATCATGCATCTAGACTGAATGGGGACTGTATCCAAAAACCTCCCATTTCTTCTACTCTATTGACACTTCTGGACACCCCGCATGTGGCGGGTTTTCCCATATTAAGCAATTCTGCAATTCTCTGTGGATACCAACTGCATATCCTACTTTGCAGTTCCATTCTGACACAATCTACCTGAAGTCAGTGTCCAATCCTACAAGTTAGGGGCTCAGTCCCACAAGACTGCTCCCTTCAGAGGCCAATCACAAGTTCCGGGTTCCCAATGAAGTGGACTAGAGGTTCCCATCACCCCCTCCTCAAGTTTGATAACTAGGATGGCTCACAGGACTCAAGAAAACAGGTTTCTTTCTAGATTACCAATGTATTATAATAGAATGCCACCCAGGAATGGCCAGATGGAAGAGGTGCACAGGTAGGTACGTGGTCGGGGGGTGGAGCTCCCATGCCCTCTCTAAGGCACGGTCCTCCCAGCACCTCCATGTGTTCCATGTCTGGGAGCTTGCTGAACCTCATACTTTTGGGATTTTTTACGGAGCCTTCATCATGGAGGCATGATGGCTTAATGACAATTTTCAGCCCCTCACTCATCTCTGGAAAATGGAGAGTGGGAGGCATAAAGTTCCAAGTTTCTAATCATGGCTTGGTCTTTCTGGTGACCTGCCCCCATGGAGGAGCCCACCCAGGGTTACCTCATTAGAGCAGAAGGCATTCCTATCACTCAGGAAATTACAAGGGATTTAGGGGCTCTGAATCAGGGAAAGGGGCCAAAGGCCACGTATTAGCAGGAACCACAGCAGAAACCAATATTATTTCACAGGAACTTAAAGAAAAGCCACAGTAAGGGCGCCTAGGTGGCTCAGTTGGTTGAGCGTCCAGGTTCATCTCAGGTCATGATCTCATGGTTCATGGGTTTGAGCCCCATGTTGGGCTCTGTGCTGACGGCTCAGAGCCTGGAGACTGTCTTCAGATTCTGTCTCCCTCTCTCTCTCTCCCTCCCCTGCACATGCTGTCTCTCTCTCTCAAAAATAAATAAAAAACATTAAAAAAAAAGAAATAGAAAAAAAAAGTCACAGTAGAATGGGAAAAAAAAACCTAGGACGAAACTTGAATTTTGGTATCTGCTCTCCCCTTTACTCGTTTGCTGAAGAACTTAACTGTCTCTCTTGTACACCTTCAACTGTACAACAGGGGCTGAATTCTGAGGTCTCTTCTAGCTCTTAACGAATGCTGTAATTCCATGACTCTGAATAAACCTTTCTATAATCAGAGATTATAAACCTGGTGTAGAGATACCATAAAAACTCTGATGAGAGGGGCGCCTGGGTGGCTTAGTCGGTTAAGCGTCCGACTTTCGCTTAGGTCATGATCTCGCGGTTTGTGGGTTCGAGCCCCTCGTCGGGCTCTGTGCTGACTGCCATCTCAGAGCCTGGAGCCTGTTTCAGTCTGTGACTCCCTCTCTCTCTGACCCTCCCCTGCTCACGCTGTCTCTCTCTCTCTCCTAGAAATAAATAAAACATTTAAAAAAAAAAAAAAAAAAAAACTCTGATGAGAGCTAGTGCCTTTTATGTGAATACATGGAAAGATAATTTTGTGAACAGATTCCTCTTAGGAAGCTCAGGTCCAGACTGACTCACTGTTTACTCCCCTAAGGCAGCTATAAAATAAATAAATGTTGAGACTAAGTAAACTAGAACTAGTCTAAATAAAAAAATCTAATTATATGGTCAAAAGTGTAACATTCATAATAATGTGATCAAGTATAATCATCATATATTGCAAAATGCAGAAGGAAAACAAAATGAGACAGTATATAAGACTGCAAGTGCTTTATTTAGTGTTCCCTATGAGAACAAAGAGCCATAAAAAGACAAAAAAGAGAAGGAAAAGAAAAAAGGAACTAATATTTACAGGATTTATATTAAGTGCAAAGCAGTTAGAAACTTTATAATGATTACACTGTTTAATTCTCATAATGATAGTAAGAGCCAGATATTATTATTTCTCATTTTATAGGTGAAGAAACTGAGACTTTAGGGATTAAGTAGCTTGTCCAAAGTCACACAGAAGGTAGGCAGGTCAGGATTCAGACCCAAGTTTATTCTTTTAACTATAATAACCTGCCATAAGACATTTTTCATTATATTCACTTTTGAACTAATAAGTCTCATTTATCAGAATTTCTTTCAGTAGAACCTAATGTTTCTAATATGTACTGCCCTTTACAAGATACTTCTTTTCAGCCAGTTAGAGGGCCTAAATAGAATTCTAGCTGATGAGTTTGCAAAAGAGCTTCTGTCATTCAGCACATAGAATCCCTCAGTACTCACTGGCCTTAATGAAATCAGATCTAAGAGTTATATCACCATTTCAAGATTCTCCTTCAAATCTTGTCTAAATTTAGCTTAAGCGTTAATCTTCTCCACATTTGATATTTGGCTGTACAGACTGCGGTGAATTTCATAACCACACCTCGAACATGCAAGGTGTTGCACTCCCTTTATTCTAATCTAGAAGTCATAATGTTGCAATGAAGACTTCCTTCAGATTTCCTGCAGAGGTCTTCAAAACTCACTACCACAACCCGTACAGTTACTTTTCTGCACATTTCAGCAAGTACAGAACCACAATTTCCAAAGACACTGTTATTTTAGATCGCATTTGGTAAAACCATAAAAACGTTACTTACCGATCTGGTTAAATGGGAGATGGGAGGTAACGTTGACAAAGGTGCTACTGTAGCTTCAGGTGTTGTAAAAGGTGGTGCACTGGGTTGTGAAACTATCGGGCCAGGAATCTTCACCCAGTAGTTTTTATATTTCTCCACAACTGTGACTCTGAAATGCAGTACTAATGAGATCAAAGAGAACCCTTATTGTGACCCATTATAATCGAATCCTCCCCCCCAAAAAAAGATAAAAAAAGAAATAAACTAGGGACACACAACTTAATACTACCCAACAGTACTACTAATTTTGTCTAAGGCAAATCTCTAATGACTCTTTTACCCCATTACTAAATAAACTTTTATCTCCCTTGTTCTCTTGCTCGCTCTTGCTCTTTCTTTTCTTCTGTTCTCTCTTCCTTGTCTGCTCTTTCGGCATACTCCCAGCAAGTGCCAGATCTAAGGACTAAATTGCACAGACTTCTATTCTCTGACATAAAGAACATACTACTACTTATTGCATAGTGCACTGTTCAAATTATCTCACAGAGCATGTGTAGCAGACAGCTACTGCAAGAAGTTAGACAGAGGCTGCATCAGCAACACCAGATTACTGGCGTCATGTTCCCTTTCCACATTCCATACAACATGCAGGTGCGAAGCTGTCTTACTGTGTGCTAGCACCTGTACAAAGTGAATCTAAACAGACAGACACGGCAGAAGACCAATTTCCCTTAAAATACACATCTCTAGGGGCACCTGGGTGGCTCAGTCCCTTAAGCATCCTGCTTCAACTCAGGTCGTGATCTCAGGGTTCATGAGTTTGAGCCCTACATTGGGCTCTCTGCTGTCAGCACACAGCCTGCTTCAGACCCTCTGTATCCTTCTCTCTCTCTCAAAAATAAACACTAAAACATTTTTTTGATAAAAAAATATATATATATCTCTAACACCACTCAGTTATCATTACTGTTTTATGACATTCCACTTCCCCTTGCACATAGGATTAAGGGAAACAGACTTCTAATTCTACTGAAGTCATAATTCTGAGGGCATGAAGTCTTACTAATCTAATCCTCAGGTTGTAACACTACAAAAATTCATCCAAATTTTAGTAATTTTTTCATATTATCATATTAAGATAAGAACAATCTAAATAAATGTATTAGTGCATACACCATATATGAAATCAAGTAAGTATTAATTAATACTTCTTAGTGTGAAGACACTGCAATATTCAATTCACTCACCAGATGTGTATTAAGTACCTATTATGTGTTAGGTCTTGGGATTAGTGGAATAATCAAACAAAAAGAAAAATAGTCACTTATCATAGTAAGGTGGTGTCATTCTACACCAAACCTCTCCTATATAGGTAAATGTCCAATAGATATCAAAAATGATACAGACCATTATTTTAATTTTACTAGTTGCAGATTTGTAAGCTCTCCTACTCACAGAAACTTTATGTGATTCGGAGCATTGCTTGGAGCATTCCAGTAGACTTTAATTTTTGTTTTCTTGGATGGATTTGTGTGACTCACAGCATATCCCTGAAACAAAATGGAGAAGAACTACCATTCAGTCACTCAATAGTTGAGCATGGCTGGAACTAATGTCATTTTTCAAAGTAATCTAGCATTGCATGATGTTGGCATTCTGGTAAATACTGTTTTATTTAGAACAGGGACTCAGGTACTCAACAAATACATGTTGGCTGGTTAATGCCAGATTGGTGGTTGACTCTATATATAGAGTCAGCAGAAATTTAAGAACTGAAAACAGTTATGAATACTGGGTATGCCAATGCTGTATAATAGCCTGCTCATTATTTAATTTATACTATAAATTAGTATTTCTTCCATTAATAGCTACAAAGAGGGGCACCTGGGTGGCTTAGTCGGTTAAGCGGCCGACTTTCACTTAGGTTATGATCTCGTGGTTCGTGGGTTCGAGACCCGCATCGGGCTCTGTGCTGACTGCCAGCTCAGAGCCTGGAGACTGTTTCAGAGTCTGTGACTCCCTCTCTCTCTGACCCTCCCCTGCTCACGCTGTCTCTCTCTCTCTCTCCTAGAAATAAATAAAATATTAAAAAAAAAAATAGCTACAAAGAGAATCCAGGAAATTCATAAATAGAAAAAATCCTGCCTCCACATACATAGCATTATATTTTAGCAATGACCTTCCCTTGAACAATCTCATTTCCCACCCTCATTCACCTGGCAAATTCCTACTCATTCATTGAGGTCTGACATAGAGATCACCTCCTCCAGCCTATGTGTGTGTGACACCCCCTGCTTTGCTTCCCACCCACCCAATGCCTCTAATTTGTCATCAAAATGTTCTACTTGTGTATCTGTCCCATATTATGTTCTACTTATGTATCATCCATCATATGTCCATATGTTCTACTTATGTGTAAGGCTCTCAGCTCTTCGAAGAACAGAAGTAAGTCTTGTTCATTACTATATCCCTTGCACAAGGATAGCTCTTGGTATAATAAATGTTCATTAAATGAATGAATGAATGAATAACAAAAATTATACTTCTGTCCCATTCTAGAATCCAATTTTCAACATTAACACCCTTTAAAAAATCAATATAATAAGAGTTAATATTACATAAAATATCAAAAGCTATAAACCCTTCAAGCTACTGCCTTTTCTAAGATGCTGATCTGTAAAAATATATTGCAAATAGGAAAATTACAGGGAAAGCTTGATCATTGTGAATCTACTTAGAATGTCTGCAAAACATGGGTAATGTCATTATCTTACAACCCTTAGCTTTTCATCTTGTAATGAAAAGATCCATGGAAACTAACATCAGTTTCAAACACAACACAAACCTGTATATCTTCACAGGTCAGAAGCTGTGACATTTGACTGTCAATCAATGTGAAGGAGCCAACAGGAGGGCCACTCACATCCTCAGCATTACATGCTTCTAAGAGAAAGCCTTTAAATGGTAGCCCCGACAAAGTAACTGAAAATAAACAAAAAGATAGTTTAAGAAGTTTAGCAACATCCCCAAAAGGAAACTGTTTAGAGGAGGCATCTCACAGTTAGAATCTAGCATATATATACACAAAACTACTCCAGGAGAGAAAATGGTAGAAATAATCCCACAGACAAAGAAGTTCTAAACTGTGCTCCATAGGACATTCACTCAGTGAGATGTTAACAGCCATTCCAATTCCACGGGAAAAAAAAGGTAGGTGATGGTCAGGGAGGTGTCCATGGGGCCACATTAGTTCAAAAATTGATGAATGAAAATAAATATTTGTTTCTTTACTGAAAACTCCCAAAGCCTTCAACATCCTACTATGCAGTATGAAACTCTCAATACATACAACACACAGAGTATTTCAAGCTGACTTACCTATACACTGCTTTTGTCAGAGTTTGTTAATATTTTGTATTTATGAAGTTGCAGAAAATAGTTTGTAAAACACTGTTATAGATACACTTTTGACAGTCAGCTTGCCTTTCACCCAAAGAATCAGAAAAACATAAGAATTTACACTATACCAAGAAGGATAAGGGTTTATTATACCTTAAACCAGGTAAGATAAACTTTGGTTTCCTCTTCTATTGAGTTAATAGTATTGTTTTTAAAAGATATATTAACTAATGATAAAAATGTATTTAAAACCTATTCTGCATAGTTCGACTTCAGCTCAAGTCATGACCTCATAGTTCGTGAGTTCAAGCCCTGCATCGGGCTCTGTACTGACAACTCAGAGGCTGGAGCCTGTTTTGGATTCTGCATCTCCCTCTCTCTCTGCCCCTTCCCCACTTGCACTCTGTCTCTCAAAAATAAGCAAACATTTTTTTTAAATGGAGGGGGAGGGTACGCCTGGGTGGCTCAGTCGGTTAAGCAACTGACTTCGGCTCAGGTCATGACCCCACGGTTTGTGAGTTCAAGCCCCACATCAGGCTCTGTGTTGACAGCTCAGAGCCTGGAGCCTGCTTCAGATTCTGTGTTCCCCTCCCCTGCTCATGCTCTGTCTCTCTTTCTCTCAAAAATAAATAAACATTTTTTTTTAATTTTTTAAATTTTCTTTTAAAAACCTATTCTGCTTAGGGAGTAGATATATTACTTAATATAGTCATGTGTAATAGTTAAACACAAAATGAGAAGCTTAAGAGGATAGTATCTTATGGAAACAGGTGGATAGATTTAAATGAAACTTTATAAATCAAACAGTAATAAAGATTCAATGTACAAGAAAAGAAGGAAACTCAAAATGCAAAATAGTTAATCCCAACACAGTACCTTCAATCTGGTCTCCTGGTCTGAATGTCATCTGACTCACTGAAATGTTGTGAACAGGATCAGAGCGTGCAGTATGACCGTGTTCAGGAACCATTCCATGGCATGACTTTCCTACTTTTCCATTGGGATAATTAGCCACAGAACTAATGTGCAACACAAGTATGAAGGTACCAAAGGTAAATCCAGGAACTGCCATCTCAAAAAAAAAAAAAAAGATTAAAAGCACATAGTCTTCATACATAATTAAAATATAAAGGTTTCATATGACAGAATAATAATCCCAGAAAACTTTCTTTCAACAGACAGCTAACCATATTCTCAAAAATACGTAATAAAAAGAATGTGATATCTGAAGTCTGACCTGGATTTGAATCTCGACTCTACCAATTACCAGTTATGAAACTTTAACCAAATCACTCAAGCCTCTACTTCCCTACCTGAAAAATTAACACCCACCTTACAAGTTATTTTAATAAAATGAAGATACAAGTTCAAGTCTGACACGGAATGATAATAAATGTTAGCTTTCATTAGCATGATTTTCACTAAAAGCAAAAAGTTCTATTCCACTTTATCCCAGGAAGCATAAAGAATAAATAAGAAATGTTTCTTCTGGACTTAAATACTGTCACCTAAATAAATATCTGATATGACTTCTCCCAATTTCCCAGTACATTAATCATGATGACAGGGTGGGTAATTTAATTTGTAATACTGAAAACTGAGGATAACAGACAACCAATTGCAAGAAACACCATTCCTATTACCTTCAGCCCAGGCACTTCTGAATAATGAAACACAATTGTCAGTCCAAGCAATTTTCTTCTCTCATCCAGTACCTGCCTCTTACCATCTGCCTAACAGACAACCAGCTACTTTATGTCAGTCCCAACCTCTGGTAGCCTACATCAACCACTTCACTTGGTGTTTATATTCAGAACCTGCCAATCACAGCAAATAACAAGACTTGAGGAAGACAGCAGGGACATGTTACATAGCAGTAAAGTCACTTGTGGAGAGGCTGCCGATGGGCAGAACCCGTGAAGTAGTTCATTCTCCGCAGAAATGGATTAGACTAAATAAAAGCACCCTTAGAATCACTAGAATAAATTACCCTTTTACAGTCATATAAATTACAAACCCCACATTGGACAAAAACTAAACTACAGAATTCCTGCTAGACACCAGAAATTCTGCTGGGGGCTACACATTTCAACCAGCCCTGCACCTTATAGCAGGAGCTATCAGGTAGATACCGTAGGGTTGAATAGTACAATATACCCCTATCTTTTATCAAACATCAAGCTAGGTAGAATTTTTCCCATTTAAGAATAAGCAAGAAGAGCAAATAAATCAAGAGCTTCTGAAAAAAAATCTATAAGAGAAGCATAAAATTTCTCTCAAGAGTAATAAGAAAAGCATAACTCTGAAAATGGCTGATTACTATAGGAAACTATATTTAGAAAAATAACTGTCTTAAGCATATACAGTGATATATATCGATTATTTCTCAATAAAACTGGGGCAGAGGAAGAAAAAGAAGACTAAAGACTGGAGAAGGGGAATTTTTTCTATTAAAACATGACTTTCAGGTGCTTTTGTTAGGGGCAGACCTGCTTTTAGGACCACACAAGGCTTGCTAGAGAGGATCAAGGTCATAGTTTTAACCACAGGACTGCAGCCAAATTATCATGAAGATTAAATGCAGTAATGTGCCACCCAACTAAAGGATGGTATGGGGAAGAGTCAGCCCGGTTTAGCAAATATTTATTTGGCACTGACCTCCTGTCAGGTGAAAGTGGAAACAAGACATAATTTCTAGTCTCTGCTATGTACTGCATAGCTGAATAACGTCAATCCAGTTATATAATCTCTGTCTTGGCTTCTTCATTTGTGAAATATAGTAGATAAACCAGAATAAATTCAGGATCGCCTTCATGCCTAACATTATGATGTTAAGAAAGCAAAGTGGGGGTGCCTGGGTGGCTCAGTCGGTTAAGCAACCCACTTCAGATGAGGTCATGATCTCACTGTTGGTGAGTATGAGCCTCGTGATCAGCTCTGCACTAACAGTGCAGAGCCTGCTTGGGATTCTTTCTCTCTCTCTCTCTCTCTGCCACCTTCCCACTCACTCTATCTCAAAATAAATAAAGACTTAAAAATAAATTTTAAAAAAGAAAGAAAAAGAAAACAAAGTGGGAGAGGATACTGGGAATTAGCAGATCAAGAAGTATAAGCGAGGAAAGGGAAGTGACTAAGGCACCATGACCTGTCATTCATTAGGAAAATATAACAAGCATGGTCAGGGAGGGAAGTAAGCCAGAAATGTCTTTGACCTTGGTCAGATGCTGACCATTCAGGGTGCAGCTCTATTGTCATTACAGTGGCTAATGATGATTTTCCAGTTATGGTTTAAGGAACAGCCTTTTTTCAAAGTAATACTTTAACTCATTAGCCAACCAATGCCAACAGATTGCATAGTTATGAAAGGGAATAAGGAGTTATTCATAAAGACATTTAGTTAAAATTATGTAATGTGGATAATGAACTATTATGAGGTCTTCTTTCAAGCACTGAAAGAACTCCCACCAATTTTGTAGGATTTTTAAAGTTTTTAATATTCCCAATCCACAGTGGGTACAAATATAGAAAATAAAACAAAAAGATATCATAAGTTGCATTTTGTCATCCCATGACAAAGATAGACCTAGTAGCTAATGAATTAAAAGGAAAGTTATCCTGATCCTAACTGAAATATTCCCAAAGCTGATGAAATATGTATAGTTTTCTTTCTTGCCTGAAAAACAAGCAATTAGTAAAAAGTATGATGACTGCTTATAACATGTTCTACTTACATCTCACACAATGGCAAAACATCAAAACAAATGTATTATTATTTAAATAATGAATCATTGTACTTGCATGAATATTTCATTATTTTTGTGATTGTGGACCACAGAGGCAAGTAATATTTATCAAGACAATATATTTAATGACAGCAAGGTAAAATTCGGATAAAATGAGAAGAATCCAATTGAAAAATATTTAGGGGGCGCCTGGGTGGCTCAGTCAGTTAAGCATCCGACTTCGGCTCGGGTCATGATCTCCCGGTTCGTGGGTTCAAGCCCCGCATCGGGCTCTGTGCTGACTGCCAGGTCAGAGCCTGGAGCCTGCTTCAGATTCTGTGTCTCCCTCTCTCTCTCTCTGAACCTCCCCTGCTCATACTGTCTCTCTCTCTCTCTCAGAAATAAATAAAACATTTAAAAAATTATATAAACATATTTAGATGTAAGAAAGTCATTAGAATAATCTATGTTACTTATGAATTTTTTAAATAAATTGGTCATTAAATTTCCCTTTATGCGTCACTCCAAGAACATGTGAGAAAAAGAAGAAATGGAGAAAAGTATACCTGTTAAAACCTAGTCAGGTGATTAAACTAGCAAATAACTAATCAAGTCTAGTTATACTGCAATCAAGCTCTAGCTCTCATGGTTAGTCATTCATTTTATGTTTGTTTATTTGTTTTGAGAGAGAGAGAGGAGGTGGGGGAGAGGCAGAGAGAGGGAGACAGAATCTGAAGCAGGCTCTCGGTTCTGAGATGTCAGCACAGAGCCCGATGGGGGGCTCAAACTCATGAACGACAAGATCATGACCTGAGCCAAAGTCAGATGTTTAACCCAGGTGCCCCTAGTCATACATTTTAAATTAAGGCATCAAAAAGTTCAAAAGTTAACATAGCCACAAAAAATTATGGGATCTCAGCCCAGTAAACTCAATCTACATCACCCAAGATATGAGTAGAAGCACCCAGGGAGAGTCTTAAACAATGCACAAGTATGAGGTAACAAGATTTTCTTAGGTTTTCTTAATTATGAAAAATGAGTTGTAAAAAAAAAAGCAAAAACTTAACCAGAAGAGTTCACTATAAAATAGTTAAATAATTTGGAAAAGGTTGTGTGGTTTTTGTTTTGTTTTTTGCTATATACAGTGGATTTTATTTAATTTTTTACCACACTCACAATAAATATTTTTATATTATGACTCAACAAATATTTTAAGAGATATTATTTACCTTTACCACATGGGATAAAGTTACATATCTCCTATTTTTTAATACCTTTTTCTTTTTTGAGAGAGAGAGAGGGAGAAACCAGAAGAGGGACAAAGAGAGAGAGGAAGTGACGGAGAATTCCAAGCAAGTTCCATGCCTTTAGCATGAAGACAAATGCAGGGCTCAATTCTCTTGAACCAGGGGTTGATCTCACAAACTGTGAGATCATGACGTGAGTCGAAATCAAAAGTCAAATGCTTAACCGACTGAGCCACCCAAGTGCCTCTAATTTCATACATTCTCTATTCCTTCCTTTTTTTAATGCTGGTTTATGTATCCTACTGAATCATTATTGCACAACCTACTAATGGATCTTAACCTGTAGTCTGAAAAATACTACTTTACACCATAGACTGACCATTAAGGTTTAGCCTTGAATCAAGCTCTAAACTGGGGGCATCAAGGATTTCAACTAAAAAGGAGAGTTCTCAGAACTAAAGAAAAAAAAAAAATAAGTCATGCAACAGGGAGGATTTTGGACACAAGGGATGGGTTTATTCAATGAAAACATCTTATTCTCTTATTCATCTGCATTTAATTTGTTCAAGCCTTCTGAAATGTTTCCAAAAATGTGCTCCTCTTCTTTCCAGCAACTTAACTTTACTTTCATAGAAAACTTCCATATCAAGAATTAAATTGACTTTGTTAGCAGAATCTCAAATTATAGAGAAATTGAAAAATAGGTCAAGTATTTCCACTTCCTCAGATGAAAATGCTTCAGACTCCATTTGCACAGCAGGAAGCAAAGAGAAAAAAAGATTTTTTTAATTAACAATTGTAGCTATGACATTTTCAGAGGTGGTTCTAAAAAACAAAGAGGCATTAAAAATGACATGCTGAACACCAATTTGAGATCTGTCAGGTCTAAGAACTTAAGATGATTGAAAAGAATTCTGAAAAAGAGTTGAGAGTTTAAGTAAAAGCAAGAAAAAGGAAAACAGAGGGAAGCCACTGAAGAAAAAGTAATAGGGCACTCTACACTCTAATCCTGATTCCCCTAATCACAACATCATCAGCAAGGAGTTTTTCCATCATCTTTATTCATCTCTGGAAAAAAAGACTTACTACATGATATAGAGCTTTCATCTGGATCATTCACATGGCCTTCGCAATAACCCTGTCCTCAACTCAAAATTGGGTACAACGTGGAATCCCCCTTCTCTAAAGATGTAAAATTAACAGATGAAACAAAAGTAAATGTCATTAATCTAATATTTAAGGGATGTAATTTATTGAATGCCATTCCATTCTAGTCATCACAGCAGGTACATCACATAAATGAACTCTAGTCCTTGGAAGAAACATATCAAGAAGTTTTTGTTGTATGCAAATTGAAACTCAGAGTTTATAAAAAACTATGGTCTCAGATCACACAGGGTAGAATAGGGAAAAAGGCACTTCACTGTAGAAATTTAGAGGTATGGGAGAAAATAAGAATAGAAGAGCTAACAATTGCCAAGGGCCTACAACATGTCAGGCATCAAGTCAGGTACTTAGTATGCCTTCCTCAAAACAACGTATGAAGGCATGAGGGGTATTATTGTCCCCACATTGTAAAATAGGGCACTGATTAAGACATTTTTCAGAGTCACAGCAAATGAGTGGTGAGAAGTATAGTCTCTGATCTGATTTCTGAGGTTTTAACCAATAAGATTAACCATAGATTCAGATCAGACCTTTAAGGTTGACATGGTAGGTAAACAATGGAGGAAAAAGGGTTTTGGAATGAGCACAACTTGAATGGGAGCAATAAAAGAACCAAAATCAGAAAGAACAAAGTGATCATGGACTTTTGGGAGCCACTAAAGGGACTGTCTACCTAAATCCAAGGCCAAATGTTAGAAAACAGTCATTGTAGAAAATACTGTTATTAAGTCTGGTTCCTCTCCATGTCTCATACATGATGAATATATCCATTCCCAAGATGTTTTACCTTGGCCCCCACATTTCTCTGCAAGCTCATCACTTCCATAGCCTCAATTTTCATCCCTAGGATATTTCTCAAATCTTCCAATTACCCCCACTCTACATCTCCACAATGCTTTGACTCATATTTCCAACTGTATATAGAATTCTGTTTGGATGACAATAAGCTCAACTGGTATGCAATGAAATTCATCATCTTTTCCTCCAGACTAGTTTTTCCCTATTTTGATGGGAACCTGGCAGCACATTTCTAGTCAGTAAGACTTCACACCCCCATATTCTCAAGATTTTACCCCAAACACTCTTTTGGACCCCAATTTCCAAACAACCCTACAGATTCTTCCTCCGCCCTTCCGCTCTCCTACCTATCCCTTCTGTATCTCTCTTCTACTCTCCATTCTCTCTATTACATCTATCTGCTATTTTCCATTCCACCATGACCAAAGCACAAAGCCTTCATCACCTGTCACCAAAATAATGAAACACTCTCAATTGACCTCCTTGTTTCTGTGTCACCATTCTGATCTGTCCTACACACCACCATGAGATCCTAAGTTTAAGGATTTTTTTTCTCCTATGCTCTAGTGACAAGGTACCATGTGGACTTATTTCTGGAATAAGCAACACTCTTTCTCCCCATGTTCTGCCTTCTAACTGGGACCTCCATATTTCATCTGCCAAATTCCTCCTCATGAAAAGAATGGATATATGTTAAATGGTAAGGAATAAGATACAAAATTCTCTGTACACTATGCCTTTTATGTAAAAAAAAAAATCCATTGCTTGTCATTTCATGGAAAATGCAAAAGACTGATAATATCCAGTATCAGCAAGGATGTAGAAAAATAAGCACACTCATACACAGTGAAGAATGTCAATTGTCACAATATTTTTGGAGGAAATTTGACAGTATCCTACTGACTATGTTTAACCTCTGACCTAGAAATTTCACCTCCAGGAATTATCCTACAGAAAAACTCACAATTATACAAAAATTATTTAGAAAATGGCAGAAATCTTGGTGGTTACAAAATAAACTATGCTATATTAAAACTATAGAATATGGCATACTCACTTAAAAAGAATGAAATAAAATAGTCAATGACAAATATAACAGGCAATGATTACTGAGTGCTTTATGGGACCTAGGCATTCCTTTAAGTGCTTTTGCAAGTATCAACTCCTTTCACAAAAACCCGAAGACATGAATCTGCATGTACCTAAGTGGAAACATGCTCATGCCCAGGAAGGAATGAAAAGAAGCAGACTGCAAAATGATATTTAGTATACTGAAAGATTTATCACTTAAAAGTTAAAGGGAAAAGAAAAAACCCATCTATTCTACACTTTAACTGTTCTCAATAGTGGTTACCACCAGGAGAGTGTTTTCAATCGGGGAAGAGGAGTGGACTTCCTCTTTTTAATCCTCTTTGTACTGTGCTTATTTTTTGAAAAGGGTGTTTACATAAAAATTACAAAAATTTATAATATGAAAATATATAATACAGAATATAAAAATACTTTTAAAAATTTGAAGCATGTAGTGCTTTATAATATAAGTATAATAAAAATTATAATTTATAACTATAAAATACAGAGATAGATAGATAGATATAAAGGCTGTAAAGAAATACCAGAAAATTGTTTAGCTTTTTTCTTTTATCTATTATCAAACATTCTATGTTACTCTTATGGGTTTTGTTTGGTTTTTAGTAAATAAAACCTCCTCCCCTCTTTCAAGGTGCATTTCCAAAGCCATCAACTACTGTATCCTATGAAACAGTGAACACTAATGAACACTGAAATCACATCGTTCGAAAAATCCAGCTGCCGGTTTGAATCCAGCACGCACCACCTTAGTGACTGTGAGCAAATTCTCTAACCTCACCAGGCTTTAGCTTTCTCATTTTGTTACAGAAAACGCAACCAACATCAAAGTGCTTTGTGAAGATTAAATAAATACGCCTAAAGCACCTAGCACAGTGGCCACCATAAACCAGGCCTTCCATTATAATCTTCTTTGCGTGGAGTCTTGCCTATTTCTGCCAACCTTAAGTAACTGTTCTCTTTTCAGAACCTCCAGAAACTTTGATTTTGCTAATAAAAAATTTTATCAGCCCTGCCCCTGCTGGTGACTTGCCTTATGACCAGCTCCTACAAGCAGCAGCAAAGGTGCCCCACGTGTTGATCTCCTGTCACACTATCAGTGTACCTTGAAAACAGTACTTGTACAGTGTGATTTCCAGAGAATCTGACATTACCTAAATGGACAGGTGTGAAACAAAGCTACAGTTGGCCAAAAGAATCAACATGTTTAGTTATTAAACAACTTATTAGAACTCATCCTTCCAAACAAAACCGTCCTCTAAAAAGTTTAGCTCACTGTTTTCAATAAATCAATAAACCAAATTTTAGTCTCCACCTCTGTACAGTACTCAAATCTTTCTACTTCTTCTCCAATTCAGAAGAGAAAGAAAATATCTGAACTCAAGTTTAGCTTTGTAAGGAAATATCCCTGGATAATGCATTTACAAATTGAATAATCTCCTTTGCCCCCTGGGCAAGCACTGACAAAATGCAAAAAAAAAAAAAAAGAAAAAGAAAAGAAAGGGAAGGGGGTGGAGAGCAGGGCAGAGATAACACCGAGTCACCTCAGAGCCTTTCTTAAATTCTAAAGGCACACCAGGAGTGAGGGGAGATAACATTTCTAGATTAAAGCACACTTTAAAAGCCAAGTAAGGCTCTAAATAATCTGCATACAGGTAAACTGCCATTAGGTTTAAATATAAAAGGGAGTTCCGACAGCTTCAAATTTTCAAAAAAGAAAGAAACCCCCGTGCGTGAATAAAGTCCGTGCTTTTCCGGATCCCAAGCACGACTCTACTTACAACCACCCTTTTCTGGGATTAAAGCTCGTTAGTCAAAGTCACGTGACATATTAACCCAACTCGTTTGTGCACACTCATTAGCTCAATACAAGCTCCAGAACATAATTTGTTAAAGCATTCATTGTGCGTCGCTGACTGTCCCTATCATCCCAGGCGCCTGCTCTCTGTACTATTTCCTTAGCCGGCTTCAATTTTTAAACGCTTTGCGGAGAGTCCTGACTTAGAGAGAATAGAAGGCGACACTTACCTTGAGAAGCAAAGGCAGCCGTACCAACTTCCGGTTTTGTTACAATTTGTATCTCACTTCAGCAGCTGGGTGGAGCTAGCTCACCCAGTAACCAGAAAGGAAAGTTTCCCAAGCCAAGCTAAGCTGTAAAACTTGATTTGCAAGACCAGTGCTAATTTTTGGACTCCGTTTCTGAGAACTAAGGGCTCTGTTTCACATATAAGAACACTTTTTACCAAGTAATAGTTATTTCATTGAGAAAATTATGCAGTTTCTTTAACTACAAAACCATTTGAAAATACCTGTCTGTTCCATATACTCTAAGCCAAATAAAAGAACCTAGTTGTGCTTAGGTAGGGTTGCCAAGTTTAGCTAATTAAAATAAGGATGCCTGCTTAAATTCAATTTCAGATAAACAACCAATATAAATATTGTTCTATGCAGTTTGGGGAATGTAATTATACAAAAAAATTGATTCATTGTTTTTCTGAAATACAATTTTACTCTCTTTTTTCTGGCAACTCTATTAAGGCATAACAGTAATTAGCAAATTATTTCAATTAACTACAAAAGGTGCAAAGAATCAGACTGCATAGAACTGAAACCTTGGAAAGTGTAAATGACATAATGCAAAAGAATTATTTAATTTTGCATAATTCACTTTGAAACTCAGGAGTTTCATTTCTTCTTAAGCCTTTAATCTTTGTTTTGGATAAGTTTTTTTGCAAAAGAAAATTTTTAGGGCTAGGAAAAGACAATGAATCTGAAAATATGAAACATTCCAGTGCAGACTATGACTCACAAGTGCAGACTGGAAAATAGATGGTGTCATATACACCTTGACCTGTGATCCCTGGTTGGCAATCAACACTACTAAAGTCTCTAAAACCATTTGAAGAGGAGAGAAGGGAGGGAAAAGAACACTATTTAATATTTCACCTTAAAAACTACTCACAATTACCAAAAGCCCCTCTTTACAGGATTTTTGATAGACACTTTAAATAAGGATGCCACAGGGGCGCCTGGGTGGCTTAGTCGGTTAAGCGTCCGACTTTCGCTTAGGTCATGATCTCGTGGTTCGTGGGTTTGAGCCCCACGTCGGGCTCTGTGCTGACTGCCAGCTAAGAGCCTGGAGCCTGTTTCAGAGTCTGTGACTCCCTCTCTCTCTGACCCTCCCCTGCTCACGCTGTCTCTCTCTCTCTCCTAGAAATAAATAAAACATTAAAAAAACTTTTAAATAAATAAATAAATAAGGATGCCACAGAGCTGGTTTTCTATCCTAAAACTTCATGGAATATGAACAGTCTCAACTCAGTCAGTAGAATTTTAGTTCTTCCATATAAAGCCTCAGGTGATGACATAGCTCTCTGCAGTTATACTTAAACCTTTTCCAGAAATAGTCTCTGGTGGACACTTTGCATTCCAAAAGCATGACTTAAAAAATTTATAAAACAAATAATTCTTAAAATATATAATCATAATCTTTTATCCTAGAGCACTCTTAAATAGATGAACATGGGGGGGAGAAAAAGGGGCAGAACAGGAAACAGACTGAGGGATACCAGAAGGGAGGTGGGCAGGGAGATGGGTGAAATAGGTAATGGGGATTAAGGGCACTGGTGTTGTATGGAAATGTTGAATCACTAAACTCTACACCTGAAATGAATATTACACTGTATGCTAACTAACTGGAACTTAAATAAAAACTTGAAGAGGAAAAATAAACAGTAGTGGGAAGAACTGAACAGACAGGCTTAGCTCTATCTAAAAGCACCCTTTCCAGGCCTATCATGTCTCCCAAAGTCACCAGCTATAATTCCCCTTATCACTCCCTGCCAGAAGTTCACCTCTAGCAAGCTTTTTCTTCATCAGCTACTTGTCAGCTGTCACGAAAGGAACCACATTTAGTAAGATGTTCAATGGAGCTGGGACCCTGAGAAGTTGATACTGTAAAATCTCCCTTGGGCCAAAAGGTGAGGGGCTTGCAAATGAGGACATACCAACCATTGTTTGATCTCAAACTCTATTTGGGTAAAAGGTCAGGGGTTGAGCAACCTAGCTCCTCCTGGCTGCAGCAAGCCCCTGAGATGTAAATCTTTAGTGAACATTGTGATTAGAACGGTCAAACATGTTCTTCAAGCAACTGTTAAGCAACCCCCACCTCTAACCGCAAAATTCTCGCTTCTGTACACCTGCTCCCCCCACCATATATACCCCGAGCTATGGCTCGGTGGTGCGCTCTTCCGAGGACTCTTCCGGTGCTCGGGAGGAGCCGTCCAGCCAGACTAAATTAAACCTGAATAACCAACTCCTTTTGCGTTTTGTGGGCTTTGTCCTCGGTGATTCTCCTTTGGAAAAGGTGGTCTAAAAATACTACCCTATTGGATCCCATTCTCATGCCTCTAAATTGACAGTTCTCAAATTTTCAGTCCAGACTCCTTTACAACTTTTTAAAAATTATTGTGGACCCCAAAGAGATATTTGTTTATATAGGTGATATCAATATCTATATGTATTAAATATTAAAAAGTGAGAAATATTTACTTACCCACAAATTCAGTTTTAAATGACAAAGCAAATTCATTAAATATTAACATAATACTTTTTTTACTATCACTTTTCTGATTGTTTTTAAAAAGAAGAGTTTAGTGAGAGAAGTAGTATTGTTAAATTTTTGCAAATCTCTTTAGTGCCTGGCTTAACAGAAGACTGCTGGATTCTCGCATCTTCTGTATTTAATCTGTTGCAGTATCTTACAACACATCATGAAGCTGCCGGAAAACTCCAGTGTATACTCATGAAAGAATGAGAATGAATAAGGCAAATAAAGTAGAGCAAAAAAAGAATTAGCATTTATTGAGCACTCACTTTGACCAAAGCACATGTATTATCCTGTCTCACAAGAACTGTAGGTGAAAGATATTGCAGTATTACAGACGTTCTACCACTGAGAATGCGAAGGACATGCTTGGCTAAGTATATTGCCCAAAATCAGGCAGAGAAAAGTGACAAGACAGGGTTCTAGGCCACAGCCACTAACTCTCTACCCTGAACCTCACTGCCAAATCGGAATGATGTTTGATGGACCAAACAACCTGCCTTTCCTATTATACTCAGCATTTCATAAAACATGGGATTCACGCAGAACCACCCCAATTGATGAGACCCTGCTTCAACTCAATAAATCCAAAACCCACCATCTAAAATGGACCCACTCTCAAGTGGCCTTTAATTTTGTCAATCTTATCCAAATTCGGCCTCTCTTTATCTCCACTGCTATCACGTTTCCTCTGGTTTTGTTACCTCGAAAGTAAAAATGAAGGATTACAACCAAAACCATATATTGTCTCAGGTCTCCTGCCAACTTGTGAAAGCAGATTTCTGATGGCTAGAAAGATTCACATAATGGGCCAGAAAAAGACTAAATTTTTAGAATGAGAGGTCATTTAAAAAAATGATCACAATAATTCAACAAGTATTTATCAAACACCTAATATATGACAGATACTGTGCTAGGCACTACCCTGTTTGTACAAAGTGGCTCTATGTCTAATATATTGTGATTTTTTTTAGGTGGATAATAAAGAAAGAACAAAAGAAAGAGGAATGGGGGAGAAAAGGAAGGAAGTAGAAAAGGAAGAAAGAAAGGAAGGGTCATAATTACCTGATAAACCTACATTTCTATAGACATGCAGTTGTCATTGCTTTCCAGATGTCATTGGATTAAGAGTCTTGAGAAAGAGATTATCCTGGGTCCTCCAGGTGTGCCCGAACTGCAATCATTAAGTATCATTAAAAGAAGAAGCAGAGGAGATTACACACAAGAGAAGACAATGTGACTGTGGAGGTAAACATTGGAGTTATACGGCCACAAGCCACAGAATGCCCACAGCCACCAGGAGCTGGAAGACACCAGGAACATATTCTCAACTAGAGCATCTGGAGGAAGTGCTTCTTCCAATACCTTGACTTTGGCCCGGTGCTACTGATTTTGGACTTCTGGCCTCTAGAACTGTAAGAGAATAAATTTGTGGTTTTAGCTACTGAGTTTGTGGTCATTTGTTATAGTAGCTGCAGGAAACTCCTCTTTCCAGTTTCTCCTGTATTTTTATCAATCAGTGGTACCATTCTCTTCAACACTCAGGCAAAACCTAGAGATGACTTCCAACTTTTTGTCTCTTTCATATTTTATAGCTCAGAGTTTTTTAGTTTGGAGGCCACAACCCATTTATTAGTGGATTATAAAATCTTTAGTGGGGGGCGCCTGGGTGGCTTAGTCGACTAAGCGTCCAACTTTTCGCTTAGGTCATGACCTCGCGGTTCGTGGGTTTGAGCCCTGCATCGGGCTCTGTGCTGACTGTCAGCTCGGAGCCTGGAGCCTGTTTCAGTCTGTGACTCCCTCTCTCTCTGACCCTCCCCTGCTCACGCTGTCTCTCTCTCTCTCCTAGAAATAAATAAAAAAAAAACAAAAGAAAACAAAAAAATCTTTAGTGGGTAACAATTAGAAAAATGTTAATAAAAGAGCATAGAAAAAAACAGTGCATTACATATGATAAGGGTAAATAAATGCTGTTTCATGAGGCTATTCAGATTATATCTGTGAGTATAAATATGCTGGTTTATTAGTTTCTTATTTCTTACTGTGGGCAGTAGCCCAAAATGTTGAAACCAATTGCTTTTAATATCTCCCTAAGTCAATTATCATCTCCTCCTTTCTGAACACTCACATTTAGGCCTTCCTACTTATTGTTCTAAAAAGAGGAACATGGAGCTCTGGAATTGGATCACGCAGGATTTGAAGATCAGCTCTACCACTAAACTTTGTGATCTAGACCTCTCTATCATAAAATGAAGATCATAATACTTTCCTCATAATATTGTGAGGATTGAGATAAAATATGTCCAGTGCTTAGTTCAATATCTAAACATAAAAACTGTTTGGGGTGCCTGGGTGGCTTAGTCAGTTTAACATCTGACTTCAGTGTGGGTCACGATCTCACAGTTTGTGGGTTTGAGTCCCCCATCAGGCTCTGTGC